GTAATGGGGAATCATGATTACTATAAACTCTTATGTACTCTTACCATTTCTTACACTAGGGAGACTATTCAGTATTTATGCATATGAGCTTGATTTATCTCGCTAATGAGTATGGTCTCAAGTTGTGCCCATTTATTTATAAATATCTCAATGTGATCATTCTTTATAGCCTAGTAGTACTCCATTGTATAAAAATACCATGGCTTTTTTATCCATTCCTCAGTTGATGGACACTTAGGTTGTTTCCAAGATCTGGCTATTACAAATTATGTTGCTATAAACATGGGTACACATATATCACTGTGGTATGATGTTTTCAGTTCTTCTGGGAATATGCCTAGAAGTCTTCCAGTTATCTTAAATTGCCAGCTATTTTTCAGAAGAAAGATGAAAACCCCAGCTGACTTCTTAGTTAACTTATTAGAGGTAATAAAACATATGTCCATAGATTCTGATTCAATAAAGGGACAGATTTTCCTTAAAGACATGTTTATTACTCAGTCAATTCCAGATATTAGAAAAAATCATAAAAGATAGACTTTGCTCCAGATAGTCCTATTGATACTTTAGTACAAACTGGCTCCATAATATTCTATAATCAGAACTGGGAGAAAACCAAATAAAGAAAAGAAAGAAATCAAAAAGTGGCTGCCTTTGTTGTGGCCTTAAAAGAAACAGACCCTAAGTCTGACTCTTGGGGTTCCAAGAAGAGCTCAATAACTAGACTGAAGCACTACCACTGTGGAAAGTCAGGCCACCTTAAGAAGAACTGCTGTAAGAGGCATCCCAAGCCATTCCCTAACTGTTAACAGGTGATCACGGGATGTTGGACTGCCCTCTAAGGCCAAGGCACCAGAATTCAGACCCATCCTATTAGCTGTTCTGACAAGATTGAAGGGCCTCAGGGCCCTGCCTCCTCCTTCTGGTCAGACTGTCATCTCTACCTATCATCTCCGTGGAAGAGTCCTGAGCAATCATGAGAGGTAAAAACCAGCCTATTGCTTACATTGACACAAGTCTCTTTGTCTTCCTTCCAGGCATTCTACCTCAATAAACAGTCACCAAAATACATGTTGCTCCAACTGAAAGTGTAATAACTTTCTTTTCATTCATTCCTTTTGGTTATACCTAAAACCCAACTCTAATTTTGGAGTGAGCTTATCCTGTCTAAATGCTGCAATATATATCCAGGTTGCCAATTAATCAATGATGCTGAGAGAGGTTTCTACAAATATAGTACATATTGTTGTTAATATATATAACTTAAGAGAGTTTCTCTTTGGTCAAAATAATAATCTGGTTCTCATATATTACCAAAAATTTAGAGATAATTATAACTAAAGCTAGAGGGATTTATGACAAAATATCCATCTCCAATAATAAAAGGACATAAGTGTCAATGGGTCACAGTTGCTATCCCTTAGAAACAATTTCTAAATTTACCTGTCAGTTCTATTGCTCATGTTTTGATTATACATGCTTTGTATACATGCTTTAATTTTGCATGCTCTAATTAAAATTTGTTGTTGCCTAAAATCTGCCCCTAGGCAACATACAGATAAAACCAATAATAAATAAGCTAGATTCCTTTTAGATCCTTTTTACTGGGATCTACCAGATCTTTCCCAGAGAGAGTTATATGGTATATATCAGGTCCCTTACTATACTCAGCAGGCCTTAAATGACAGCAACTGGTCTCTCTCCCCTAAATGAAGAATTAAAATTAATATGACAGGCCATCCTCAAAAACTGGCAATGCTTGAGGTACTTGGACATTATAAAACTTGAATGCTATGTATGTGCCTGATCTATCTGTTAATATCTCAATAGCTATTCAAGATGTTAAATGACAAATCAATGACACATCAGATTCTAAAATTGCCTGAACTTCATCCTTATCCTCCTTATACAAAACCATTACTAGCTTCTCTTGGTGGAGGTCTTTGTTAAATGTATTCATAATTGTCCTAGTACTTCTATTTGGCCCATACATGTTTGTTTGCCTTTTCTTCCTCTGAAAGATTTCTGCCCTAGTAAATTTATTGGACATTGTGGTGGTGGTGGTCTAACATGGCAGAAGGCCAATGCAAAAGCAACATTTACCCTGATGAACACTTCTTCCTCCTTCCTCTTCAGCCCTGATTACAACTTCCTCTTTCCTTTCTGTGCATGCAAAGAGAATGCTAATAACTTCCTCCCATGTCATCAATGCCCACTCCAAGCACTGCTTCAGGTCAGAGGTCATAAAACCTCCTACCACATTTGTCTCTGACAGAGGAGAAATGCCCAATCCCACAAGTGGTGCATTCCTTTCCACATCCTCAATTAAGGCCACATTTTCTTTCCTTTTGCTTCTCTATTGCTCTGGAAAACTCAACATTTTGGTGCTGTGTGACATGGACTGGCAGTGTGTGTGGGATCTTGGGGTTCAACCCTGGTTCTGAGCTCCCCTGCCTATGAGCCACCCTTATTCCCTCGAACCTGCCTATTTGCCATTGCTAGCCTGCATCCAACAGCAATCCACCACATTAGTCACAGGTGAGCCACCTTTCTGTCTGGCGTTTCATGTCTCAGTTTCTCAGTTTACTCCACCAAGATCTCCCCCTTCCTCCTCACCAGACCCCTTAGATGATGTGCCTCCTGAGTTTACTCCTCCTCCCCCATATCCCCAAGCCCAAATCCCTCTGCCTTCACAGCCAGAGGTTTCTGAGACCTGCTTCACCCACTCCCGTTTCCTCACCCCAAGTGGCCTCTGATTCTTCCTTTACTTCCTCTCCCCAATCTCAGACTCCTCAATTCCCTCAACCTGAACCATCTATCTGATCAGACTCTTCTTTCCCTTCTGCTCTCACATTGCCATTTTCCCCCACCAGCTCACCACACTTGGTCTCATGTCTCTTAGCCGCCTAGCAAACCACATGGTATTTGACTGCCATCTGGTAATCCCATACCATGTGGTCCTCAGCAGCCATCTTGCTGTAAGTCACATAGAGGATAGCCACCATCTTGTGGTCCTCCACCATGTGGCAGTCCATCACTATCTTGTTGTGGGTCAAATAGTAACCAGTCACCACCTTGTGCTTCCCTGTCACATGGTAACAAATGGCCATCTTACAGTCAATCATCCTGTAACTGCCCACAAAGGACTGCTGGGTGGTTGGCTGCTCAGTGGCCATCTACATCTTTCATTCCACAGCCTTCTCAGCCTCAATCCCTATTCCTTCTTTGGGAACAGGCTGCTCCCAAAGTCTAATTCGTATTTGTGTTCCTCTTCCCCTCACTGACCTATCTCAGATTAACCATAAATTAGGTTCTTTTTCTATTCACCCACAAACTTATTTTAGACAGTTTAAATTTATAATAGTTATGATTTACATTCTAAGGATGTTTATGTGATTCTTATTACCACCCTCAGCTCACAAGAGCAGGCTCAGCTATAGTAAGCAGCTTGAGAGGAAGCCAATCATAGACATGAAACAAATATTACTAAAAGTGACCCTAGGTCTGCTATTCTTATTTCAAGATATCTCTGTTAATTGACCTACAAAAAGGTTCTCACTAGTCTATTTATATTTACAAATGTAAACCCTATAAAGAGTTATTATAATTCAAATTGGCCAAATATATTTGAGTGTACTATGATTGTGTAAGATATTTGTCTGTTAAATTGTATATAAATATATATATCTTTTTCATAATTGAGCTCAGTGATCTTTTCTGTTTTCTTTTATATTTTCAGATCATTTAATCAAGGTTTATTTTGGGTTATAGATTTAAAAGGCATGTTTCTACCTTGATTTCCAGCTGGTCAAAAATTGGTTATATATATATTGTTGTATCTTATTGTTTAAAAAATTGATGGGCTAAATGTTATGATTGGGTTTTTCATAAGTCATCAAAAATTACTTAATTAAACAATATCCCTTTGGGTTGAGATTGTTGGACAGGACTGAATTGATGAATAAGAAAGCAGGTACCTGGTAAAATTTTTACCAGTTCTTACTCATTAATTCAAGGCCCCAATAATCTCCATAGCCTTATGGGAGACACCCCAATTAAAAATATACTAAGGTTTTTTATTTTTAAATGCTAATACAAGTTTCATATGGCTAAGACAATTCAATATTGCTTATCTTATGGTATATTAAATATATTCATGCCTTCAAGTATACAAATCTTCAAAAATATATGATGATAAACATCTTCTTTCAGATCCAGACATCTGACTTTTTCTTCTGCTCCAGCCAGGAGGGTCAAGTCAAACCAACATGAGGTCATCAATAAAATGATAATTTTTAAGCAAAAATTTATGTAATTTATATGTTATATATGTGCCACTATACTTACAGAGGCTTAAACATTGAATACTCCAAGCAATGTCAGAAGTTTCTTCAAGGACATACTATAAAGGACAAGTTAAGTAAAAGCTTCTTATGTATTAGACAGAGATGACTGATCAAAAAAGGAATATCATATGTCAAAAATGCAAATTCAAGCATGCTACAAAATGTCATCATGATTGTCATACTGTAATATTAAGTATAGTCTTTATTTCTAATTTTCTGTATAAAATACATAACTTTGTCAACAGTCTATAGTGACAATTCTTATTTTATTTCTCAGTCTGCCCCTGACTTTCATGTGAAACTACAAAATGCTAAACTTGGCCTTCAAACCCCACAGGGAGAATTTCTTAATATGGCTTTTCATGTTTTCAACAACAGATAAAATTCAAAAGGAGGAAAAAGAGGCACAAAAAAAGAAACTTGCTAAATATCCATCTGATCTTTCAGCAGTGGCACTTGGGTCTCCTAAGACAGGTAAACCAAAATAAGGTGGAGCTGCCCAAACGCTTCCTGGACCCCAAGTGCAACAAGGAAGGACACGGCTAGAGAATGCCCCAGTCCACAACTTCCTCTGGGGTCTTGCCCTCTCTACAATCTCAAGGGTCATTGGAAGAAAGAGTGAGTAAACCATCCTCCAATTCCTTGCCCTCACAGGAGATCTCATCACCACCACTGGATTCATCACTGGTTGATCTACTTGGACTTGCTGCTGAAGAAGATTGATAGGGCCTGGGGTCCACATCCCCCATTACGGTATCCTCAGATCCCCAAGGAGACCTAACTGGACGTCTCAGGTAAGACATCCTCTATACTTGTAGGCAGGGGCCGTGTGTAGTGCTCTTCCTGAGTTTTTAGGCCATCATATTAAATCCTCAGTCTCTGTAGTGGGTGTTGATGGTCAACCTACACAGCCTCTTCAAACAGGGCCCATTCCATGCAGGTTCCAAACTCTCTTCTTCACCTACAGCTTTCTGGTAATACCAGCATTCCCCATGTCCCTTTTACATAAAGATTTTCTCTAAAACCTTAACCTCTCCTCAAGAGCGTATACCACACTTTTCTTTTTCTACTCATCAATTTCATGGACATACCCCTAGTCAAGACTGGAAGGTAGATTTTACACACATGCCCCACCACAAATGTTAAATATCTCCTTACCATTGTCTGTACTTTTTCAGGATGGATAGAAGCCTTTCCCACAAGCAGGAAACTGCTGACATAGTTACTAAGTTATAGTACAAGGAATCATTCCTAGGTTTAGTCTACCTCAGTGTATCCAGTCAGATAATGGTCCAGTCTCTATTTCTCGAATCACTCAACAGGTATCCTCAAGATTACACATCACCTGGTGCCTACACATTCCATACTATCCATGCTCCTCAGGAAAAGTAGAAAAAGCAAACAGGCTCATAAAAAATACCTCACAAAGTTCATTTTAGAACTACGCCAACCTTGGCCTCAACTTCTTCTCCTAGCTTTAGATGAGCTCGGGGTGCTTCCCCAGACTCCTACCTTTTTAATCCCTTTTAAAGTGATGTATAGATGACCATTCCTACTGTGCAATCTTCCTACCTCCCAAAGTCTCCCACTTGTTGTTGACTACATCCCAATTCTCTCCTTCCTCTGACACTTGTTATGACAACATGCCAATCTCTGTCTTCCTCAGCCCTCTGATGGGAGAAAACCAGATCCTCACATATCCCCAGGAGACCTAATTTATCTTAAATCTTCTAAGTGGGCAGGACTACAACCAAAGTGGAGTGGCCCACCACCTGATCTTGCTCACAATTCGAAAGGTGGTCAAGATTGCTGGACTGCCATCTTGGTTCTACATCACTCAAGCTAAGTAGTGCCCTCCTAACCCTAATTCCTTTGACTCTAAACATCCTAAGTGGTCACCACATCTCCTGTCCCCCACCCATCTCTGTCTCACCAAGGGCCCACAGCCACAACTTTCAAGCTAACTCATGTTTTGTTATTTTACCTGGTTCTTGATCCCTTCTGTTCTATTAGTTATTTTTTCACTGTAGGACTCTGGGCAGTCTTTCCTAAGGACTTCTACATTATACATAAATTACTTTTATACTGTGGTATGTAACAACTAACTTAGTTCTCTCCACCCTCAACTGTTTAGTTAAACATGAGACCCCTCTGGGTCTGTGCTCTTGTATCACTTACAGTGACACAGTCACAGCCCTCCCCAACCCTAGTCTATAACTTCCCAAAAATGATTTAGCTGTCAGGCTTTACATTTTTCATGCTCCCCATTCTGTCCAGCTCAACCCCTGGACCAAGGACAAGTCTTACCTACAATTTTACTTTTACCCTTTCAGACCAAGGAATAATTGCCTCCTGTAACTTCATCCCTCCTGACTCCACATTCAGTTTTCAGGTTCCCTACTGTTACCTTAGGCCTTATGCCCAAACCTTGGATAGGGGAACCTAACCAAAATGGAGTGTTTTGCCAATTTGTCACTTAACTATAGATACTCTTGCTCACCATGTTCATGGTGAAACAACACTTGGGTCATGGGCATCTTTCCTTCTACCTCTCCTGGGTGTTTTAATTATGATAATGATCTGCCACCTCTGTAGCTTCTTGCCTTTTTATTTCTCCAACCTAGGACGTGAGCATTCACCAATAATGAACTCCTTGTTCTGGCTGAAACACATGGAACCAGCTTCTACATGGGCATCAACCATCATTCTGTTGATCTCTTAACCCCAAAATGATGCCCCCATCCAGCAGGAAGTAGTCAGAGACTCATCACCTACTCCTAACAACAGAAAGACAGGAATGAAAGGCTTCTGTTTTAGTATAAATTACTGGACATTATGGCAGTGGTCTAATATGGTGAAAGGCCAAAGCAAAAACAATGCTTACCTTGACAACCACTTCCTCCTCCTTCCCCTTCATCCTTGATTACAACTTTCTCTTTCCTTTCCATGCATGCAAAGAGAATGTCAATCACTTCCTCACATGTCATCAATGCCTGCCTCAAGCACTGCTTTGGGTCAGAGGTCATAATACCTCCTGCCATATTTGTCTTTGACAGAGGAGAAATGCCCAACCCCACAAGGGACGTGCTCCTCCACATACTCAGTAATGGCCACTTTTTCTTTCCTTTTTCTTCTCTATTGCACCAGAAAAACCTAAAATCCCCTAGACTTAAGCAGTGTTCCTACCCAAGATAAAAACACCTGATGTCTATTGAGGGCTTTTAGATAGAACCTCTGCAGAGTATCCTTGACTGCTGACCAACAACTACAACCCCTGTCAGTGTGACGATCGGTCATTTCCCATTATTCCCTCATGGCAGCTCAGGTTATCTCTTCAGGGGAAGAATGTTATAGGCAGTTGAGTTAGCTAGAAATATTATAGGCAATTAGACAGGGTTGGGTCCTTGAAGGGCCAATGTAGAAGACCAGGTACTTTGCAACCTTGGAAGAGACAGACACCTCTGCTGAGGACCAGATCTCAAGACAAAAGGCAAAAGAAATACCTCTGCATCCTAAGTGTAAACATCAGGGATTGACATTCTAGGTAGGTATGGATCACCTTGAGGAAGTCAGGAGTCACCATCCCAACCTCCTACAGAAAGAATTATTGTTGTTTAAGCATGCCCACTTGCTACATGACTCACTTCCCCATTTGTTCCTGATTTGGTCAATTATACCTGAACAATTAATCCTATTGGTTGACTATAGTTCTGTCCCACCTTATACCCATCTGTCTTGCCAGTTTCCATGTTTTCCTCATCTTGAACCTGTCTCACTTTCTGGTTTTGTTCCATAAAAGTCCCTAGAAAAGACAGAGTCTTTGGCAACCCACTCAGGATTCCTTCTGTCTCTCCCAGACAGAAGCTTTCTTTCCCTCGATAACTATATTCTGCTCTTAAACTCCATTGTTTCTAAAATTCATTCTTTGATTTTAGAGATCACAAACTCATACCAGACATCTACTAGGTTGGAGTTTCATTCCTCTGTATCAATCACACCTGGCTTACAAGTATGTTTTAAAAGATAAATTTCAAGGGGAAGGTAAGTGTTCTAATTTCAAAAAAAGTAGAAAAAATACTGTACTAGAAATTTTAAAAATGTCATTTATTGCCTTTGAGCAAACTGGACACATAAAGAAAAAAATCAGTGAGCTTGAAGATATACCATTAGAAACTTCCCAAACTGAAAAAAATAATTATCCAAAAACATAAGATAATTATAACAGGTATAACTTACACAAAACAAAACTGATAGAATAAAAAGAGACAAAGACTGAAGAAATATTTGAAGTAATAATGACAGAATTTTCCAAAGTTAATGACACTAAATAACAAATTCACAAAGTTTAACAGTATACAACCCCCAAAATATACAGTTATATACTATATCATATTCAAACTTGAGAAAATTTTGAAGGAATTCAAGGAAGATCAGAAACTTATTTGGAGAGAACAAATGTTGAGGGCCATTCCATATTATTTGGGCAGAAATCATTTCATAATTAAAGTGTGATTAGAGTTTGTCCAAGGCCTAGTATCTTTTTTTATTTAAAGAAAAATAAAACAAGTAAAAGGGTACAGGTAATACGAATTTCAAAAAAATAAACAGTAAGAAATCACTAGTTAATAGATTACATATTGTCATCTTAGAAATAGTTGATCAAGTTACAAAATTAAGCATTTAAAGTGGACATTCAAACAGTGAGACTGCAAAAAGACATGTTCAATGATCCAACAAAAACTTAGTAATATGATCATCTATGTTACACACCTAAACACACTTGCAGTTGTGCCCTTTAGAGCACTTTCTTTTCCTCTCTTTTTACAGTAACATTTACACATTTTAGGTTATATTACTCCCACATTCTTATTACTTTTTTTGAAAGAGAATAAAACCAAATGTGACAAAACAAAGCAGTCAGTCAAAACAACGGATAGACGTAGTGCATGATATAAAAACAGAATACAAGGTAATCAACAATGGTTACCATAATGCCTCTTGCTACCTTAAAAAGAATTGCCTGTATCATCAACAAAACAGTACAGAACAAAACCAATAATACCTAAACATTGGAGACATTACTGAACTTCAAAAGAAGATAATAGTCAAACCAGAATGGGCATCATAGTGAATCTTATTGCCTTCAAAGTAGTTGTCTGTACCCTCAAAATTGATAATATCAAACAGAACAAAATAGAGTAAAATCAGTCAAAACAAGATGATGAGACCATACAGGGCTTAAAATCGAGTTAATGGGAAATCAAAAGAGTTACTATAATATATCCTGCTAATTTTTTAAAGTTTTCCCTTAATTAAAAAATAATAAAAATTTTTTAAATAGGGGGGAGATTGAGATTAAAAAGGACATAACAGCATAACAATACAGGTCAAACAGTACAATTTTTTTATTTAAGGAGAAAAAGAAAAAACAGAAAAAGGGTACAAGTAGTACAAAATTTAAAAAATAAACAGTAAGAAATCACTAGTTAGTAGATTACATATTCTCATCTTAGAAATAGTTGTTCAAGTTACAAAATTGAAGCATATAAAGTGGACTTTCAAACAGTGAGAGTGCAAATAGTTTTCTTCAATGATCCAAAAAACACTCAGTAATATGGTTATCTATCTTATACACTTAAACATATATGCAGTTATAACCTTTAGAGCACTTTCTTTTCTTTTATACAATGACAATTCACATTTTGGGTTTTATTACTCCCACAGTTCTTATTACTTTTTCTGAAGAGAGTAAAACCAAATGCAACATATCAGAACAGGGGCAGTTAAATCAAAA